TATCCTTTTCATCACTAAAATAAGTACAGTACTTCATAATTCCCTGAGTTACAGGCTTCCACCAGAAATATTTAGTTGACCAAATCATTCAGATATCCCCGAATACAGAGCAATGTCTAGAATGTCTAAAGAAAATTACTGATAATCCTCGCCTTTGAAGCACTGCAAATTAAAAAGAAAAATAATTTAATGCACAGTTTAATAAACCCGTATATAAAGACACGATTTATGCATAATTTAAATCTGCTGCAAAACTCCGGTTTTTGCGAATATCTGCACGAGAAAAAAAATTTGAGCAATATGCAGCATAAATTCGTATTATGTATGGTGGGCAAATTTTACTTTTCATAATTGGCAAAAATAAAATTTCCGTTTTCAGTTCAAGTGCTCGGATATATGACACAAAACGCACCTAATTTTCCAAATAATTTTTTCAGACAGCGTAAAGAAAAAAAAGAAAAAAAGGTGTCCATCAAAGAGCACGCGCAAGAGACAAAGAAAAAAAGCTTTTTCGTGATGAACAAGAGCAGCTGAAAATTACTGTGTTTCGCACCAATCGCATAGCTTTAATCTTTTTCTTCCCTCCATCACCCACATTATTCCTCTCAATTCAATCCTTTCACATGTGTGTGCATATTCCACCTCCCATTAATACCGTGTCTTTCCCCGAGAGCGCCATTAGTCTGGGATTCATTGAAGCGATTTCTCTCTTCGGAGCTTTTTTACAGTCACAACTCATCTTTTATTTTATTTTATTTTGTCTCAAATGTTCCTTTTCTTTTACACGTAACCATCTGTGCCGGTAATGATTTTTTCTTTGGCGGTAAATGTGCGGTCGAAATAGAGAAAGTGCACATGACTAATATGCGTCAGGTTCTCGGGTCAGCACAGGGCCCCGAATTGCCGCCATTGAAATGGGGCTGGCAACATTGCGCACCATCATGGAGATATTCTGTCGCGTCCTGATTTTGGAGACTATTGGAAACAATGATCACGCTTGCAAACGGGACTTTCTTTTCTTTGTAAGAATGAAAACATTCCTTCTCATTATATGAAGAAATATGCAGATGGATCCCGTCATATAACGAACTTCTGATGGCGCGGGTACTTGAAAAAATATATAAATTCTGTCTCGAAAATATAGTTCTGAATGTATTTTCCTCCAAGTGATATACAACTGCGATTTACTCGTGAATAACATTTCTGAAGTAAAAATAGTAGTTCTCTGACCCATGCCTGAATAAATGGCTGAATGCGAAAACGGCATCACTTTTGAAAGTCGTGCATTTGAATATAATAGATGAGGTACATGCCGCACTTTTCAATTTAGAAAAATTGAAATTATTCGGGAATATTCTTGAAAATACAGTAATTGGTTTCCCAGATTTTCCTTTTTAAAACGCAAGGATATGAAGGATGTCTACAAATTTTATATCTATAAATATTGGAGTAAAGCGTTGTTACAATACTGAAAGTTCAATCGCAATTTGTAACCGACTTTTTGATGATGGTATGCATAAGAGCCACTTATAATGCACATTTGATTCTCTCGGATTTAGAGAAATATATGGCAGATAAGTACAAAAGCAGAACAGTGGAGTCCATTTAGCATTGAAATCATGGAAGAGATAACAAATTTCAGTCTCAAATGTATGGAGTATTCTTGCCGTATGCATGGGTTACTTTTGAGGTTCACGCGGGAAATCAGGGGTATTCTTCCACCAAGCCTAAGCTAAGTTTGGTAACCAATACGTTAGCTAAAAAAAGGCCTCAATGAGCGAAAAAAATAATGACCCCGGAGTGACTCGTTGTGGGTTGGAAGACTAGACCTCAGTCTGCGCGATGGTAACGCGGTGTCCCGGCCAACTCTTTCTGTCAGAGAAAGTCATCTAATTCATTGATTGCGTAAGAGAAGGTCGGTAAGGACCTTATACGATGAGATACGCACCCTTTCCAAAGCATTTGGTTACAGATAAGCGCTGAGGAATGTTACAAGCTTCTTACGAAGGATATTATACAATACGGTTTTCCAGTTCAACATTCCCCTCCGTGAACCCATGAAGCCACACAATATATTATCGCCGTTTGAAAACTTTCGCATTATACTTTTCCAAGATTCAAATCGTGGACAAGACTTATTACAGATGTAATTTCAAATAAATCCTGAATAAAGTTGTCTCACGTTGATACTTGAAACCAAAGTCGGTAAAAAGTAACTTTCTAATCCTACGTCTGCACCGCGAGTTGCGTAAAAATAGGAAAATAAAGCATTCACAAACTGCAAGGAAATTCAAAACGATAATTGCGAAATTTGCATAATATGATAAGGATCAATTTCCCGTATTTTTCGATTTCAAAAATTCTAATTTTCTGACCACGAATGAAAATATTTCTGCACACTTTGTGAATGATTTTTAATTTTCATGCAACTCTTGGATGGTCGGTTAATTGCACCTCGATCAGACGTAAGATTAGATACCGGTTTTCACTCTTGACTGACTGTGACTTTAACTATCAATATAAGACAACTTAATTCAGGATTCATTTGACATCACATCTCCCAAAAGTCTCATTTACGCTTTGAAAATAAAAATAATATTAGGAATACATTATGCGGAGTTTCCAGGATACAACCGAACACAGTGAGACCCCCACATGCGGACACCTTCACCTGCAGACAATTTGACATAGGGACACATATTTCTCCAAAAAAAAAAAAAATTTAAAAAGGGCCCAACATAAGGACACTGAATCGACATGGGGACATTTTGTTATAAAATTGCACATACGTTTCAGGCCAAATTACTAAAAACAGATACTGTATTTCCAACCCTAAAATTGATGTAAGAAAAGTTCTTGGGCATTTCTCTCACCAATTTACCATCCATTTAGCTAATTTAAAAAAATTACCTCCAGCATAGAGGGACTTCCTTCTCTCTTTTTCACTTATTGAATGTTACTTTTACAGAGAATGCCAACATTTCTATGCACTGTACAGAGGTGTCATTATTCAATTCCCCAAATGTCCATTTTGTGTTGAAGTATATTGATTATTTTAAATTGGGAGACAATTTTTATTTTCATGGAATTGTGGTGAGTATTTTGTACATAAAACACCAATTACAAATTATATAATGTAAGTCTAAGGAAAAATGCGACTTGACTCAGGACATTTTGACTTTAAGATGACACTCTTGATGCACCAATTACGTCCGCATCTCGGGGCCTTAATTCTACAAGGTTTCACGACACAATGGGGTTGTCCTTTCACTCCGGAATGGATATTCGAGGTTTTCTGTTTCAAATGAGCAATCTAATCCAGGGTCCGGTTACTTTTTCAACATGAATCACTGATTGCATCACAGAATGTAATCAATAGAAAACTGGATTGGATGAATCATTCAGGAACCTGAGCTTTCATTTTTTCTCTGTACACACACACACACACGCAGTTCTTTGTGCGGGATAAAATTTCTGCATGTTCATAATCACAGCGTGTTCACCATCAACACATGATGCAGGGGACAATTTCCGCCTCCTTTTCATTTCTTTCTCACAGGCCGAAGAAATGAAGATATGAAAAAGTGAAACAAAATTATACGAGATACTATGCATTACCACGCAACTCGGCAGGATTCAAACGACTATTAACATGCCAAGGAAAAGTTTCTCCCTTTCCAAAACGCGTGACAGAGACAAAACAGCATCGACAGAAATACACTCGCGCCCAGCCACAAAAGAGAGAAGGGAGAAATAAATTAGGCTCAATTTTCGGCGATAAAATTGCATAGCAGTGCTAGGGAATAGTATCCGCAACAGAAAATCGGCTCAAGATTGTCCAGAGAATTGCGCTATTTTCGTTGAACATTTTATTCATTGAATTTTTGTTTCTTTACGTCTTCAGGATAGAGTCGTTTTCACGCACATGCGATTTAGGAAAAAGTTTTTCTCTGCTGGGGAGAAATAACTTCCGCAAACTTTTGCTTCTCTGTGTGGCATGTGGTGATCAACTCATTTCCGGACTGAAGTGATGATGACGCAATGCGAATTATGGACTGCCATTATTTCCAATGGGCATTTGCCGAAAATGAATGCACCAGTTTCTCCCTCAATTTTTCTCGAGAACATGCCCATCAGATGGCAATTTTTTCCCCGCAGAAATTATTGCGAATGAAAAACCAAGATAATCCTAATGACGCTATAAATAACTCAATATGCTCTTATGGTAAAATATTTCCTCTCAAATACATTTAGAATAATTACCTGAGGCCCCGCCCACTGTTTTCTGTGTAAAAATTTAATTTATAATACTGTACTGTACTGTATAGCATAGCGGAGGTGTACGAGGAGCTACACGGTTCCGCGCGGATAAGCTTGTTATTGGCTGCTCTTGGGAAGCTTTAAAATTCAACAATTTAACATTTCAAGGCCTGTATCAACACATGGATAAAAAGGGCTGACAAGTGTGCACAAATTGGGTGGTATGGCATTGAGAAGGTGTCTGCTGCCTATAGCCTCTTGGAACTAGTGAAAATCGTGAGAGAAATGTTTGAAAAATTCCTTGGTGTACAGACCATTTCAAGTCCGTGCGCAAACGTGTAACCCCTTGCATATTCCCTTTAAAATATTTCTTCACAGTACAATACAATAAAGAATTTTTCGATTCTTCCCCAGACCTCCTTTTCATTCCTATAGACAGTAAAGATTCTCTGGAATAAGATTAACTGCTTAAACCTTGATTCTGTTTTTTTTTTTACATTCTGTAGTAAACACAAATTTAATGAGCACATTAAAAAAGTCAAAGACAACATTTTACTTCAGGTTGTGTGGTATATGCTGGGTGAACAAGTGTATATATGAAGCTGTAGACCATCAATTATAAACCATGGAAAGTGATCAATGGAATAAAATCAGCCTTATCCTGAGGTTTGGGTCACTGCAGGGTTTACAACCCTGTGTAATGTCTAAGCACTTGATTAGTGAGAAAAAATAAATAAAAATCAGTCTGAACAATACTTCACTTCCATCATCTTCAAGTGTAAGATCTCAATTCAAACTGTAGAACAAATCCATCCCAATGATAAGAACTCAAGACAGTCAAGATGCTGGTCCAACTGGAGTGTAAATCCATTGGCCTCGCAAAAACCTTCTCATAAGTTCCTTCCTCAACATGCGCTTCTCTTTTTTCACTTTACTCAAAATTCCTTTGTTCTCCTCCACTCTGCGAGACAAGTAGGGCATCACTTCGAGGACTGGTCCATAAGGAACGTATTTGTAAACAGAAAAGCCGCCTTGACCCAGAGGAAAAGACACTTGGTCGCACATTCCATAAAGTTGGCCAAAAAAAAGTATCCCGGCAGAAGGTGGGATATTCATCTCTTGCATCTTGCGCACAGCAAAACGCACAGTTTCTTCATTGTGGGTAGCCACCATTATCCTTGTCTGGTGATAAAAAAAACACACAGGATGCATTTGAAGGCATCAACCCTCAATTCATTGCCACAATCTGTGTACTTGGCTATTTTTTTTTACCCAGGTAAGGAGGAAGAATAAATCAATGTAATTGTATGTAAGGTAATGAAAAATTCCGGTACTTTCCTGTTATCTCAGTACCCATTTTTCTTTGTCTCCTGAATTCAGTATTTGTTAGGTTAGGTTAGGTCAGGTTATGTTAATTGAAAGATATTTGGAACTAACATAACCTGACCTAACCTAACTTCACATAACTGCCTCCCAAAATCAGTTTCTGCTTTCTTTGGGCTTCTGCTGAAACTGATTTTGGGAGGCGGTTANGAAACTGATTTTGGGAGGGGGTTAGGTAAAGTTAGGTTAGGTCAGGTTATGTTGATTGAAAGATATTTGTACCTAACATAACCTGACCTAACCTAACTTTACCTAACTGAAACTGCCTGCTGAAACTGATTTTGGGAGGCGGTCAGGTAAAGTTAACTGAAACTGCCTGCTGAAACTGATTTTGGGAGGCAGTCAGGTAAAGTTAGGTTAGGTCAGGTTATGTTAATTGAAAGATATTTGTACCTAACATAACCTGACCTAACCTAACTTAACCTCACTGAAACTGCCTGCTGAAACTGATTTTGGGAGGCGGTCAGGTAAAGTTAACTGAAACTGCCTGCTGAAACTGATTTTGGGAGGCGGTCAGGTAAAGTTAGGTTAGGTCAGGTTATGTTAATTGAAAGATATTTGTACCTAACATAACCTGACCTAACCTAACTTTACCTGACCGCCTCCCAAAATCAGTTTCAGCAGAATGCAGAAAAATGAAATTCACAGTTTCTGGTAGGTGCACAGAAAGTAGGTACTGAGATAACAGGAAAGTACCAAAATTCCTTACAACAGAATATATCAAATCAACTGATGCAAAACTTCAGTTAATTAAAAAAAATTACTTTGGGAGCAGCATCAGGGCCTTGCTGTCTTCTGTATTCCCTGGCCCTCATGAGTACATCAACCAAGCATCTATGGTACATTTCAGTGGTTGCTTCAAATGTGGGATTGGTTGGGTCCTTGTACCCAAATTGCTTTGCCCTTTCCCTCTCCTGGTCCAGGTAGGCCCCTCTGACAAGCTTGGCTCCAAAATAGAAATCCTGTCTGTTTGCTTGTTCCATATCAAGGACCAGTTCCTGATAAGTTCTCCTAAGGTAGCACTGGTAGGTGTTGAACACAATGGCTTTTTCTTTGTTGTACTTCCTCATCATCTCTAGGGTAAGTCTAGTTATGGCTGGCTGGAAGTAGGTCTGCTCTGCATCCACCATGACCCTCACTTGAGTATTTGTGGCATGCTGAAAAATTGTGTTGAGGCGGGCTAGTGTGTTGGAGAAAATGTGATTATCCTCTGTAGTCATAGAGTCTATCAGAGGCACCATTTGACCAGTTTTAAAACATGGCACCCTCAGCATTTCAGACAGGAGGATTTCATTGTCTATCAGCCCACCCCAGGAGAACAAATTGATGACTCCATTCTGATCATAGGTTGTATGCTTGACCAGGTCATCTATGGCACTTGAAGCCTCACTGGGCAACTTCTGAGTCAGTTTCTCCTTGAATTGTTCTGGATTCACATGCAGCTTGAGTATGTTCTGATTATACTTGCGCTTAGTGTCAGTTTCCAGTACTTCAGCCACATACTTCCTGGTCCTAATCAGAGCCTCAGACAACTGCAACAACAACTGGGGTCTGCCCAGAGCAGTGAGCTTAATGGCTGCAAACCCAGTTCCATTGGTGGCTTTGGAGATGGCATCAATGCATTTGAGGAATATCTCAGTGTTTTTCTCACACTGTGCCTCGCCTTCATAGAAGTAAGTTCTAGCACTGTTGACTCCTTTGCGCCTGTCCCCCAAAGATTTGGAATGAGTGAAAACTTTGAGGGAATTGTCCCTTACAACAGGCTGCCCAAGCACCTCTGACAGGGTGCTATCCTTTTCTTGAGCCACATTGTCATAAGAGATGGATTCCTTCTTGTCCGCCTCTTCTTCAGAAATGTCCTCCTCAGCTGAGTAATCCAGAATGACTTTAACCCCGAAATCATTCAGACGTTTTACAGCTGGTTTGATGTCATTTTCATCTTCTCCAGCCACAAAGTGCCCATAGAAAGTGGCTGTCGAATAAATAAATGTCTTGATGTGCATCCACTTGCAAGCTTTACCTCTTGAAATAGATTTAATGTGTATCCAAAATTGATCATGTCAATGTTTGAAGAACCAAAAACAATTCAACAAATTTTAAACTTAATCACAGTCAGAGCTGGTGAAATCTGATTCTGTATACTTGATATTCTGAATATACTTAAAAAACATTGTTGTTCAAATTTTCAAGAAATATGCAAATTATTATTGGTCATTTAAATATAATCTACCTTTGAAGAGCCACACATTCCAGATACAGGTGGTAAATTGCAATGCATGCAATGTCCCACAATTTGAACATCCTGGTCAAATTTGCTGGGAAATTGATTTGTAATTCAATCTCTTACCCTACAATTTCACCTGCATACAGACTCAAAATGTCAAATTCAATGTTGAGATATTGAATTTGACATTGTCTTGCAATTCAACCAATTAGCAATTTGACCCTTACACAGCAATGGACTAAGGTCAAATTGTGGGGCACCAACTGTAATAACTTATCACTCAAGTACATTCTACATCTGTGGAGTTTGCAAATTAGGAACTTTGGTCAGATTTGTTTGGGCTGATTGAAGTTTTTGGGTCAGAACTGTTCTTGAATGACTATAGCGTCTTGAAGAGAGCATAGGGGAAATAGGTAGTTTTTTTCTACCTGGAACAGATATCTTAAAAGTATCCCAAAATTCATTTGACAAAAAGGCCATATAATTTAGCTGGAGGATTGACCAAACAAATTTTCCGCCTCTTCTTCAGAAATGTCCTCCTCAGCTGAGTAATCCAGAATGACTTTAACCCCGAAATCATTCAGACGTTTTACAGCTGGTTTGATGTCATTTTCATCTTCTCCAGCCACAAAGTGCCCATAGAAAGTGGCTGTCGAATAAATAAATGTCTTGATGTGCATCCACTTGCAAACTTTATCTCATGAAATAGATTGAATGTGTATCCAAAATTGATCATGTCAATGTTTAAAGAACCAGATAAATTAAAGCAATTTTAAACTTAATCAGTCAGAGTTGGTGAAATCTGGTTCTGTATACTGTACTTCATGTTCTGAGTGTACTTGAAAAACATTTCTGTTCATATTTTCAAGAGATATGCAAATTATTATTGGTCATTTGAATATAATCTACCTTTGAAGAGCCACACATTCCAGATACAGGTGGTAAATTACAATGCAATGTCCCACAATTTGAACATGAAAGTTAAATTTGCTGGGAAATTGACTTGCAATTCAATCTCTTACCCTACAATTTCACCTGCATACAGACTCAAAATGTCAAATTCAATGTTGAAATATTGAATTTGACATTGTCTTGCAATTCAACCACTTTGGAATTTGACCCTTACACAGAAATGGACTAGGGTCAAATTGTGGGGCACCAACTGTAATAACTTATCACTTAAGTACATTCTACAACTGTGGAGTTTGCAAATTAGGAACTTTGGTCAGATTTGTTTGGGCTGATTGAAGTTTTTGGGTCAGAACTGTTCTTGAATGACTATAGTGTCTTGAAGAGAGCATAGGGGAAATAGGTAGTTTTTTTCTACCTGGAACAGATATCTTAAAAGTATCCCAAAATTCATTTGACAAAAAGGCCATATAATTTAGCTGGAGGATTGACCAAACAAATTTTGCAATTTGGGAAGTTTAAATCATATCTGACTTGGGGAAAATGGCCTGGAAATAATGTAACTGGAAATTTGAATAGGGGAGATTTTTAAACTTCAGAAGATTTCAATTGACAAGGCCCAACTGCAAGATAGTCCTCTCAATTGTAAAATGTAGCTACTTAAAAAAAGACCTTTCATTAGGGTTTTGAAAAGTCCACTTCCAAGAACTGTCTGCATCCATTTCAGGACAGTCTTGTTGTTCTGCACCAGGGTTTTGAAACTGCACAAGGTGAAGACCAGATAACCCCTGAAAAGTTCCCAGTTGGTTTTACTCTTGTATGCTGCTATGTGATCAGTGAAAGATAGATCAACGGAATCCCAGTGCACTTCTTTGGTTGACCTGTTTTTCTTTTCTTGCTGCTTGTGATGCTGGGTGGGACAATGAAGGTTTCTCTGAACGATGATTCCAGCACTGCTACAATACAATTTTGATGGTATCCTGTGCAGCAATAAAGTGTGCACCAATCTTGGTGATGCAAGCATGGTAGAAATTGAATTTGTCCAGATTAAAGCATCACATCTGTGCAACAGAACTGCTGGTGACTGTTTCGCATTTTTCAATGGCTTCCTCTTCAGCTCACAGTACTAAGATTGCAAGTAATAAATGTGCTGATAAGTTGAAACTCTGTGTTGTTGTGAGAGTTGGTCAGTAATATGGTTAGCAGAAATGATGAACAATTTGCTGCATGGTCTTTACAGGGTTTTCAGCAAATTATCCTCAGAAATGAATACTTCGTGCTAGAATACTTTAGGCTTGATCTCAAATTCAAGTCATTTGATTTCATGTGAGGAATATTTTTATGAGTTAATTTCAAAGATAAAAAAACTCATTTTTGTGATCTGCACAGGTTTTATCTCAATTATATGATCCTCGAAGGCTTGAAAATCGTACGCCAGATTTATTCTCAATCTTTTGTTCCAAGTTCCGTGAAGTCCCAATTCTTCATGGCAAAAAATAAGAACCTTTATTTCAATTTTGAAAAAAGTGTCGTGTACAGCTTTGTCAGTATTACTTTAATCTGTTGCAAATATTTTTTTGTTCGGGGTCAAATGGAAGACGACTTCTTTGAGGGCAACGGGTAAATAACTCCTGCAAAAATACCCGTCGTTTTCCTCATAATTGCGAATTTCTCTGGAAATCTTTTTGTTTCCATAAACAAGTACAGTAAATGTGCGTCATCTGTCAAGTGTGATTGAATTCTCTTGAGTATTTTGCGCAACATCAAATGCTTGTTCATGATAATGCCCAGTAGTGAATATTTTTTTAATTTAAAAAGCAGATTGAAATTATGCACAAGTTTTACTAGCTAGTGAAAATTTATTCAAAAGTTCCGCGTTACTGGGTTGAGTACAGTACTGGCAATCCTCTTCTCAGTCAAAGAACCAATTTTTCTTCGCTCCTCTTTCTGTTGAGCCACGTCCAAAAAAAATTTAATTTTTCCTGCTTCTAAACACCCGGGAAATGACAGAGAAACTTCCCTGGGGAAGAATCTTCAGAACATACTCGAAACTTTCACAAGGGCAATCAGAAGCTTTGAGAGTGATCGCGACAAATCGATTACTGGAGATCACGGGTGGAATGAAAATTTCCTGAAACCATTCATCCATGACGCGGAAGCTACAGTATTTCTTGAAAAATGTTTTTCTCGAAAAATATTGGCATGTCTTATTGAGGAGTACAGTATTGTGTCATAGAGAATTTCAACAAGGCATCCGTCGAAAAATTGACGATCTTCAAAATTTTACTGGCGAGGTGTCAAAATATTACTGGTTTTGAAACCATTCATCCATGACGCGGAAGCTGGAGTATTTCTTGAAATATGTTTTTCTTGAAAAATATTGGCATGTCTTATTGAGAAGTACAGTATTGTGTCATAGAGAATTTCAACAAGGCATCCGTCGAAAAATTGATGATCTTCAAAATATTACTGGCGAGGTGTCCCAAAAAAATCGTTTCCAGTACTTCTATTGGTAAAATACTGCATAAAAAATAAACATATGTACTCATGAGCATTTTTACATGGTCCTATAAAACTAAAAGAAACATTCAATCAATATGGCGTATATATGAACAGCTTCTCTGCGACTATATTTATGCGTAAAATAAATTATATATCCGTCCTGTCGCCATTCGAGTATCTATTAAAGATAGATTCCACAAGCATTATTTGCAAGCATCCTCGGAAGACTGGCGCAAAATTGTGCAAAAGATACATAACACGTTCTCAATTGTTTTGACCGTTTTCCCAGAAGAACTCAACGGGATTTTAAGGTCTTCCAAGTTTTCTCTCTTTTCCGCACGTCATTGATGTTATTTTAAATCCTANGCTACTTAAAAAAAGACCTTTCATTAGGGTTTTGAAAAGTCCACTTCCAAGAACTGTCTGCATCCATTTCAGGACAGTCTTGTTGTTCTGCACCAGGGTTTTGAAACTGCACAAGGTGAAGACCAGATAACCCCTGAAAAGTTCCCAGTTGGTTTTACTCTTGTATGCTGCTATGTGATCAGTGAAAGATAGATCAACGGAATCCCAGTGCACTTCTTTGGTTGACCTGTTTTTCTTTTCTTGCTGCTTGTGATGCTGGGTGGGACAATGAAGGTTTCTCTGAACGATGATTCCAGCACTGCTACAATACAATTTTGATGGTATCCTGTGCAGCAATAAAGTGTGCACCAATCTTGGTGATGCAAGCATGGTAGAAATTGAATTTGTCCAGATTAAAGCATCACATCTGTGCAACAGAACTGCTGGTGACTGTTTCGCATTTTTCAATGGCTTCCTCTTCAGCTCACAGTACTAAGATTGCAAGTAATAAATGTGCTGATAAGTTGAAACTCTGTGTTGTTGTGAGAGTTGGTCAGTAATATGGTTAGCAGAAATGATGAACAATTTGCTGCATGGTCTTTACAGGGTTTTCAGCAAATTATCCTCAGAAATGAATACTTAGTGCTAGAATACTTTAGGCTTGACCTCAAATTCAAGTCGCTTGATTTCATGTGAGGAATATTTTTATGAGTTAATTTCAAAGATAAAAAAAAACTCATTTTTGTGATCTGTACAGGTTTTATCTCAATTATATGATCCTCAAAGGCTTGAAAATCGTACGCCAGATTTATTCTCAATCTTTTGTTCCAAGTTCCGTGAAGTCCCAATTCTTCATGGCAAAAAATAAGAACCTTTATTTTAATTTTGAAAAAAGTGTCGTGTACAGCTTTGTCAGTATTACTTTAATCTGTTGCAAATATTTGTTTTGTTCGGGGTCAAATGGAAGACGACTTCTTTGAGGGCAACGGGTAAATAACTCCTGAAAGAATACCAGTCATTTTC